GCCGGAGTTCAGCTGCGTGGTGACGTACCGCAAGCTGGTGGTGGGGTGCGCCTTCCTGGTGCCGGACGCGCGCCACAACGAGGCCTACATCTCCTTCATACTGACGCGCCCCGAGTGGAGGAACGCACACATTGCCACCTTCATGCTCTACCATCTGTTACAGGTAAGGACTTGCAAGAGGGGGCAGGACCATCACCTAGGGGGGAGCATGATCTAGGGCAGGTATAATGATGATTTTGGGGAGGAAGACGTCCTAGGGGAGGTGATGATTAAGGAAGGGATGTTATAATCGTGGGTATTCACAGTAAAAATAAATTTTTAATAAAAAAACTAGAGTTTTTAAGATATCTATGTGTCTAGGGATTGTAGGTACCATGGTGTTTCTAATTAATTTTGCTTAGATTTAACAATTAGTGACTCAGGGTGCACATTATACTTGACAACTTAATCCGCATAAAGTTTACATTTTGCCATTTTAATTGTCAATTAACACATAAAATTAATATTCAACAATTTAATGGCCCATTTTTATTTCCAGACTTGTACAGGCAAGGATGTAACTCTGCATGTCTCTCCGACAAACCCTGCTATATTTTTATACCAGAAGTTTGGTTTCAAGGTAAGTTTTAACACATGATTATAAATACAATACTTTTGATTTAAAATAAAAAAAATATCAAAACACTTTATTATAAAAATTGTTCGCTTATAGATTTAAAATTCATTTTTATCTGTTCAGTATTAGTACATCAAATTATTTATTTACTGGTGGCATATTAACAAAGCCCTCCTTCATTAGATAGTCATATATTTTCCTAGTTTTGTTTACATCTATCTTTAAAATCCTGCGAGCATCTAATAGTCTGAGGAACCCTAACTTGTTATTCTCTGATATAAGTTGAGTTTTGATCTCTAAATAATTTGTAGGTAAAAGTCTTAAATTGGAACATAATGTCTTTTCACTATCCAATAAAAGATGACATCCAGGAAGACCGACAATGTCCAAAGGCAGAGATGTCCGCTTCAACTTTTTGTCTTTAATACCACATTGTTTTGATTTAATCGGAGACAGACTCTGAGTTTCGTATCTATTTTGCATAACTAATGTAAGATACTTCTGTTCCTTAAACGCTATAGTATTCTCCACTTTAAGTTGCTGGTAAAGTGTGGCAGAATAAAATGTTTTTATACCATTCTTCCTAAAATCACTCAGCCGAAATATCTTTTGTAATAATTCTTCTTCAAGGCTCAATGATTCCATGAATGCATCAAACTGCATTCCAGTCATAAACTGCATAAAGGAGACTAGTTTTTCAGTCTTGCTTCTCATTAATGTTTCATCAAATCTCTGCAACCATGAAACTACTCGGTTTAATACTATTAAGCCATGATTTTTTATGATACTGTATCGCCGATGCCTTTCTGCCAACCGTGTATTGAAAGCCTTTACTAAGCTCACTTTTAGAGCATCCATGAGGTCCTCATCTTCATCATCCGAGTAGTCATCCTCAATGTTAAATATATTTTCCGCATTATGATCATAACTTAGTTCAAATTCAGATCTGTATGCATTGTAACCTGCAAGATGTTGATCCGACTGATTGTTTCGTGGTGGATTTACACAAACTTGTAAATTATATATGTAAGGGGTTATTGGCTTAGGGAACAAGGATTGTTCTGTCTCCGGTAGCAACTTTAACTCTTTATATTGAACGTTTTCTATGTAATATTTCTTGTAATGTTCGTGACACTCTAATTTAGATCTCGTGTGAACGACTTTTGCAACTTCTTCCCAGTTTCCGAAACCATGTGTTGATATTGCTGAAAGTAATTTGCACTCCTCTTTAGCTGACCAGTTGCAGTTATCGAATAAAGGGAAATCGTTCCTTCGTACTGCGTATTTGTGATAGTTTTTGTGTTCGCGTATCTCTTGACCGGCGGCAAAACAAGATGTACACAAATTAATCTCGCATTCACAACACTCTATGTAAGGTTCGTGAGCGATCTCGTTGCACGCGGCGCACTTCACTTGTAACAAATCAGTCGTCATTTTGCAGGTCGAGGAGCTGATACAAGACTTCTACGAGAAGTACTACGACATCGATTACAAAGGATGCCGGCACGCACTATTTTTAAGACTAGTCAGATAACTTTGTATAATAAAGATATACTGTCTAAACTGAGTTTTATTTCTACTTCCCCTAATTACTTTTATTCTGTTGCGTAATTTGCAATGTAAGTTATGAATTACAAATTGAATGAAAATAATATTTTCATTGTTTAAGTCCATTGATTGACATGTATCTTTAAAGTGACATGACATTGAGAGACAGCTGACGGTAACCTTTGGCAAACTTGCTATATGGAAGAAATGTGTTCAAAATGTACTTTTTCCTAAGTTTTCCAGAATTCCATTAATAATAAGACAGTTATAAGATAAATTTAGCAATCTATTAAACTATTTGTTTTATAAATTATCAACCCAACTTATTTTTACTAATGGTAACTATCTCTTCGTTTTCTATCGAGTGTAAAATCTTTGCGAAAGATGGCACTCTTCTTGTATTTTATCATCTTGCTTTCTTTATTGTTTAATTACAAGTACAATTATAAACAATTACAATTAACTTACTATTTGTAATAACTGTAGCATGAGCAAATGTCTTTTTTGTGAAAAACTTACGCCACACACAATGCAGAAGGTGCATTTGCCCTAATAGAATAAATAATAATTCTGTAGTCATTTAATTAAACAATAGAATAGAGTTCGATTCTTAGTTATAATTCCTAGCATTGTACTCTTACTCTTATTCTGTAATTCTAAACATTATTTTTTGGACTAAATTCTTTTTATTTAACGATCAGAAGTGGTTTTGTCTACCGTAGATGCCTGTACAAAAGCATTTTTTACTAATTACTTTAAAGCCATAATAAAGATTTTTTTCAAAGTAACAAAAAAGAACTTGATATTTTACGAATAGAATCACGGTCTAGAAAAACACGTGAACGCCGCGTTGTAACGTCTGACCCACATCCCATAGATCGCGCTCACGTGTATGCCTTTAATAAATTAATTATTTAACGTAATATATTTTCAATAAACGATAAACAATGTACAGAATAATATACACAGTATAAAATATTCGAGGTATTCAGTAAATATCTACTATAAGCATTCTTATCGATTGGTGATTTTCAATCCTTACGCTTGTAGCTGTAACTGGAAGAAATTTAGTAAAAACAATTAGTATCACATATTTTTAGCAAATTAAATGTTAACGAAAGGTAGAAAAGTACAGAGATGTTATGTATAAATTATTATATAGACATTTTCATACTGCACGTCCGTAAAAAACTACAGTATGTTGATAAATTGAGAAAGATTAATTTATTATATTAATTTATTCTTGATCCTATATGTAATTCTTTATGATAAAGCACACTAGTGTAGCATTTTTATTATTAAATACTTAACAAAGACCTTAATGATATAAGAAAATTGAGGGAAAACTATATTTCAGATCAGATAACAGATAGTTAACAACAAGTAAAAAGGGTTTGTTTTCCAGTTAGTACCTAGGAATAAATTAAATTATTTGATTTAAATGTTTGTTATCTCTTTTTGACCGACTTCCCAAAAGAAGGAGGTACTCAATTGCAAATTGTAATAAAATAAAAGTCATGTTACTTATTAATAATTGTGTAGTACTGGAAATTCGAACATACTGTATTTACCCACGATAAAGCTGAAGTCATGAACCCATTATGTTTCTTTTTGAACAAACAAATTTATATGTATCTCTGTCAAACACACAGAAGTGCCCGTAAGAATGCGATTCTTTTATCTCACTCGCACGTCAAGTGAAGGCCCCAGAATGTTCTAGACGTTTTAATGTATATATTTTGGCGCGACGGCAGCGCTGCGTTTCATTCAGTTTTGAAGTAGATAGTGTGAAGTTGTGAATTGTGTTGTGTGTGAAATTTTGAAATATTCATCTAGTTATTTCTGGATTTTGATTGAAAGTGTAATTGTAAGTATCCTTATTTTTTCTCTTTATTTCCGAGATAAATTTTCTAGTCAAATATGTTGGTAGTTTTTTAAAAAAAATGAAGTTTCTAGATGTCGAGTAGGGTTGCGCGGATCATCGCTTTACGTCTCCTAAAAAGGTGTCAGACGTACGCAGGCTAACAGTGATAATTTCTTTGTTGCAGGTCGATTCAGCAACATGGGTAAAGATTACTACAAAATGTTAGGCCTTACCAAAGGCGCCACAGACGACGAAATAAAGAAGGCGTATCGTAAGTTGGCACTCAAATACCATCCTGACAAGAACAAAGCGCCCGGCGCAGAGGAGAGGTTCAAGGAAGTTGCGGAGGCATACGAAGTGTTATCAGATAAGAAGAAGAGAGAAATTTATGATGCTCACGGTGAGGCGGGCTTGAAAGGTGGCATGGGCGGGCAAAACGGACCGGGTGTTGGCCAGTCGTACTCGTACACTTTCCACGGAGATCCGAGAGCCACGTTTGCACAGTTCTTCGGTTCTGCGAGTCCGTTCCAAGCGTTCTTCGACCTCAACGGCGGCGGCGGGGGTACGACGATGTTCTTCGACC